CTTAACCTGCTAATTTATGCATTAGCATTATTTATGGTAATTTATTTTTCTTAATTCTTCCACATAATTCTTCCATTTTTTTTGACATTTGCCACTACTAAAGCTTTTCCATTTGACTCAGTGCTTGGTTGAAAAGTTATTTGGTGATTTACTTTCTCAAATCCAGTTTTTATTATTGCATCCATATTAACAGTAATGCTCTAATTTAATAATATATTTATTTGTATTTACACTACATACAACACAACGTTTACCTTTTAATAACATACCGACATAACCTCAATCTTACTTTTTCTTCTTATTCTTTTTTGGGGCTACGTCCTTGACAGTTATCCGGTAACCTCGATCTAACATGAAAGTGCAGTAAATTTTGCTGATTTACGACACCAGATGTCGCTGTTCCGAACTTGCACGGTCCCAATACAGCGTGTCTACGTAATCCATTAACGATTACAAGATTTACGAGACCAATCTATTCATGTAAGTTTTATGTCCTTTGTGTGACATTATATTTTCCATAAAATGTCTGCGATGTCGTTTGACCATTTATTTATTAGATTGGATTAAAAACACATAAATTAAGACTAATTATTTACAGCCAAAAATTATTTTTTTTTCTTATGAAAGGAAAAACCGTTATCTTAAAACTTGTGTATTAACAATACTGGCAGGTTAAAAATATCTATTCTCAGAAAACTTGTTCTATAAAAACTAAATCCCAACATGTATTAAATCTTCATGTAACCTTCCGGGGCGATTGTCTTATCATATTGTCCCCCCCGTAATTCCCAAATTTTCCTAAGGTAGTGAATTTCAATCCTTTTGTTAATATCTGTACTCAAGGTAGCCTGATTTGCATATTTTTTTTATGGTCCTTTTGTTTTAAATTTAAATAAAAATATTGACAGTTTTACTAACAGAAAATGTGTAAAATTTTTACAATTTTCTCCGTGCAAAAGTGTTGTAACTTTAAAATTCCTAACTTTTTTAGCATTTATATTATTTTATTTAAATTTCTATTTTTGGTTAATGTAATATAGGCTGAAAAGAATGCAAAATCCTAATTAAATGTTAATTTTTCTTCAAACTTGTCTCTTATTTCGCCGATATTAGCACGAAAATAAACAAAATCGTCTTTATCTCGAAACTTACTTATTCTGACTTATTGCAGTCTTGCACTGAGGGTGCGATATTTTAAAGTAAAACTGTGGCTTATTCCCAACAAAAATAGTAAATTATAATTAAGGAGTTAGACGTGAACACTTCTCACGTTAATGTGTTTTTTATGGCGATATTACTAACATAAAAAAAGCCAAGGATGCGAGAGTAATATAAAATGGGGGTAAATAGGAGGAACAAAAACTATACATATTTATGTTGAATCATCCATTCCATATTAAATTTTCTCTTTATTCTTTTTAAAAAATTCTAAACGAATTGGTTTATTTTGTAATATCGTCAGAGTTTGCATCAAATACTAAATCATCATGGTTAATATCATAAACATTACCATCACAATCACAAAGTTCTGATTCGCTTAGTTTTAGTCCATAAAGGTATATTTTGCCAGTCGCATTGTTAAAAAGCGTACATTTATTGCTACTGAAATACGTGGCGATTGGTATTCTCAAATATCTGTAGGCAGTGCGCGCATCTTTCTCTCTGGCTCATTGTCGCATATATCTGTCGGTGACCGATATGTAGGACACTCATTTGTGTGGAAAATTAACAACTCACGATATATCCACCAGCCGTCTGCTTGCCAGTTTCATTTTTAAATTTTGACTAATTAATCAAAGGTCTAGTAGAGACTGGTAAATGCGGTGGCATATATATATATATATATATATATATATATATATATATATATATATATTTATATATATATATATATATATATATATATATATATATATCGGTCGTCATCCGCGTGACAGCTTTTTTTCTGTCACATATATTGGTCAACCGTCCTGAAGGGGCTAGGATGGGAATATAGTGGGAATTCTGGATTGAAAATTCCACAATTGGAATAGTCTACGTAAGATCTATAGTCACAAATAATTTAATCAATAAATGTAAACGCTTTGAATGAGGACTCTTTTTAAACAATGTTTGCGAACTGTTTGTATCATTGCAAACGCGTATTGGTTAAGGTTTAAATACGCATTTTCGTATGATGTATGACGATGGCATTGACAACTGAATGCAGTTTATGGTATTTGACATGTAATTATTAGTTTGTATTGGTAAGTTTTGTGTATATAGATTGAGATAAACATTTTGTAGAACACTATGATATATAAACCATATACCATTCAAATCAGTTTGAGGACGACCCAAAGTATTCTTGACGTGTATGTGTATATCGTCTACATAGTAACCAACATGTGCGTTTGTAGGATCTCCGAGTCTTCCATATAGAAATGTTTTTGGAACAGGAAAAATGTATGTTTTTACTTGGTTTTTGTTTTCACGATACCCTAATTGCTGTATTAGCAACTATGGTATTTTCTAACATTAAGTCGCCTCTGTACTGTGTGTATAGGTAATAGTATATACTAATTATTTTTTAATAGTGCACATGTAATAAGAAATTTAAAAATAACAATTACTTGCTTGTGTAAAAAATACTTAGCGTGATGTAAGTACACATTTTAAATGAAATGAACTGTTACAGTGGGCGCAATAACCTTGAAATTTTAAATTAGTGGAATTTACGGATGTTGTTTCAATAGAATAAATAAATAATTTTGGATATTTTTACCTGAAATAAATTGAACAGGGTTTAAGTAGGATGATTGAGATGTGTAGGTAAATCAAGTTTAATTTTTAATATTTTTTTAGTATATCAAATGGAAAATATATTTTATTCGGTACTAGGTACTAAATCGTGTTAATAATAAATAACATTTTCTCGCGGCATTTCTGTATGAACAGGTATATTTAATAAGAATGGACCACAGTTTTAATCAAAAATACATTAATTTGACGTTTGATTTTGTACCTTCTACGAAGGTGTTGAATATTGTCTGTTTTGTATTATGTTAATGGTAGTATTGGAAAGTAATTGATGTATTTAATAACTGTCTTGCATACTTTGATTTTATTTTGGTATCTGTCTAATATTCCCGTAAACTTCGTCCCTAAGTGTTCTATATTTATACATTTGCACTTAACTTTTGTTCTTTAAAAAAAATTAATGGGAAAATCCCAGTAGTTGGCTGTATACCATCGTTTAAAAAAAACACAGAAGTTAAACACTCACTGATTGTGAAAAACATGTTTTTTTATACCACAATACAAGTGTGAAGTGTTTTAACTTCTGTTTTTTTTTGTTCTTTAAGTTACCGGTGTTTGTGATAAAAAATGTTAAAGGTACATTATTTTAACAAAAAAAAGGTATACTTCTTAATCATTTTAAAACTCAACAGTTTTCGAGATAATCGCATTTTACAAATCAACTACATAATTCAGATTTAACGCAATTACTCCAGGCAACGAAAGAAAATTAGACAAAAACATCAATACTTCTGAATTTTGGTATAACCTGCCTTTAATAAGTTAATAGTTAACGAAATATTAAATAAAATAAATATATCAGCAGGATAATTTGCAATAGAATTTAACAAAATAACAGAATGATTGGATTTTACATCAAACATTGTACGTTTTGTATTAAATTAAAGTCATAATCAAAATATTTTATTTATAAACCAAATTAAGAAATAGTTTAACTAAATAACATTAAACTTTTTGTCAAAGTAAGTGTTCGATATGTCCACCATTTTCTTTAATTCATTTTTCAATACATTCCATAAAAGATCGTCTCATATTAAATAGCATTATTGATTCTAAAGAAACAGCTGCAGTATTTGTAATAAGCATTATAAGTATAATATAATATGATAAATATAATAGAATAAAAAAGTATTCTTTTGGGATTTTTATGAATTAAATAATTATATTAATATCTCACCACATGACCAAGGAATATGATACCACGAATTACCAGGTAATTCGCATGTCCAAAGACGAAATATGTGGTTGATGCAAGATTTTACACAACCACATTATAGAACGTTGAATTGTTCGTAGTAGTTCGTAGTAGTCATATTCCTTGCTCATGTGGTGAGATATTAATATATTTTTTTTAATTCATATTAATTACTTATATATATATATATATATATATATATATATATATATATATATATTATATATATATATATATATATATTCAAATTTATAATAATAAATATTGCAGTAGTTTCTTTAGAACCAATGATGACATTTAATATGAGACGATATTTTATGGAATGTATTGACAAATGAATTAAAGAATGGTGGACATATTGAACACTTACTTTGACAAAAAGTTTAATGTTATTTAGTTTAACTATTTCTTAATTGAGTTTGTAAATAAAATGTTTTGGTTATGAGTTTAATTTAATAATAAACCGTAAAATGTTTGAGGTAAAATCCAATCATTCTGTTAGAATGATTGGATAGAAGAATCTTAGAATGTTAGATTAGAATGTTAGATAGAAGAATCTTCTAATCTAATATTTTTATCACAAATACCGGTAACTTAAAGACCAAAAAAGTTAAGTGCAATTGTCTGCCACATATGTGGCGCCCTATATCATCCACATTAAAGTGTGCATCAAATTATAATTCCTGATATTCAATAGTACCCAGTTATGAATCTTGATACATAAATGTTCACAAACATGAAAGTTATAGAAAATTAAAATTTTAAATTTACACTTCAACTTTCTTATCTCGGATCTTTCTTAATATCAACATTTTATTAAAGCAATTTGGCTTAAATCATAATATTTTAAAGTGTAGAATGTACGGTTTCTTTTTGTACAATTACTTAAGGACCACCCTTATATATGTATATATATATATATATATATTATTTACTATTTCTTCTTTTAAAAACTTAAAAAATCTTTATTAATATTTAATAATTTAAAAACATTTCGTATTTCCAGATAGCAGTAATATTGCTGGATACACAAGGAACATGGGATAGTAAAAGCACAGTAAAAGAATGTGCGACTATTTTCGCACTAAGTACTATGTTAAGTTCGGTACAAATTTACAACTTATCAAGCAATATACAAGAAGATGATTTACAACATCTACAGGTAATATATAAATTTATTTGCCTAACTTGATCAAAAACAGTAAGAATTCAAACATATTCTTCCGAAATTTGTTACCTGCCTTTAATGTTTTTTTCAACGTTTGAACATTTCTGGAACTCATTTTTCGACATAAGCATCAATATTGATATAAATTCATGAATTAATACAAGCTTATTGCCGTTATACAATTTCTATATTGTTTAATCGTAATTTCCCGGGTTACTGATTTGACGCATATTAATTATATGACTTATTGGCCACATAGAGATACGTTATTAACTTGTGCACAACTTGACTTTTTTCACTGGGTTTTATTGGGACATTTGAACTTGAGTTTCGGTGTAATATTAATGTGTACATAATCACAAGGTCTATTCATGTTAAGCAGAGAGAAAAATTACTTTATAAAAGTGAAGTAATATTTCATTAATATGTCAATATATGGAAATGAGAACACTTTTTGAAGAAGCACGACTGAGGGCGGATAAAATAGAAAGGGCAGATAGAAATCAAATTCGAGTAGTGGACGATATTGAAGCAACGGCAGCTTCATATAGCTAACAGGAAAAAAATACACAGGTAACATAAGAATCAGACATTAAAAAAAGTCAAAAATAATAATAAAAAAAGAAGAACGAAACAAAAAAACGATTCGTGGCACTTGGGTAGTGTCGACAGAAATGGCTAAAAGCCTACAGGCATACCGATCGATAAGAAGTAGTCACTTCAAAAAGAAGAAGCAAAAATAATAATAAAATATTTCAGTACATATGTCTATTTTAGCTTTTTACTGAGTATGGAAGACTGGCACTGGCAGACTCAGGCACAACTCCTTTCCAAAGACTTCAGTTTTTAGTCAGAGATTGGCGTTTTCCTTACGAAGCTCCATATGGTGCTGTTGGCGGTCAGCAAATATTACAGAAACGATTAGAAGTTAACGAACATCAACACAGCGAGTTACAATCACTAAGAAGACACATCAGTTCTTGTTTTACTGAAATAGCTTGCTTCCTAATGCCTCATCCTGGAATAAAAGTTGCTACAAGCCCAACTTTTGATGGTCGACTTGCAGGTAAGTCTTCTTTCATCGTAGGGTGGGAGTATATTTTTGATTGTGTTAAATTTTTTCCGGTGATTTATTACATTCTTCTTGTTGTTGTTTTTACTACACATTAAATGTATTCACGAATTTAAAATTTGGTTATTTATTTGTTAGGACAAGCTGACGCAAAACTAATGTTGTGACACCTTGTTAAAATCAGGTCCTCCTAATCAGTTGATACCGTAATAAGGCACTAGACCTATTTTTTTTTAGTTTGAATTGAACGTCGTCTAGGATTTCTTCAGAGTACAGAGATAGATCGAGGTACAAGTTGAAAGACTAGAAGTTTTCTTCTAATATTGCTAGAAATGATGCTTCATTTGTCGTTCGAATTTTGAACTTTTATTGAGAAATTGATTCAGTTTGAAATAGGTTTAATATTGAATAAGCCAATTTGGCCTAATACTAAAAAATGCCCATTGATTTGAATACTTTTATACATAACATGCTTGATATTAAAATAGGCGATAGGCTTGATAAAAATAAATTAAATATATTAATTAAATAAAATAAAAATAAATAAATAAAATAAATTGGAATTTTATTCTGAATAAAGACTGAAGAAAAACGATAGCAATATACAGCTCTATTTGCCCACTGTTAGAATTTCAATTTTATCAAAAAAAAAAATTAAAAAAAAAAACAAAATAAAAAAAGGGAATTGTCAAGAACTGTTCTATCGAAATTCGTAATAATACACAGGACATTCAATTTAAAATATAGAAGTTTTAGTCAACTTCCGGTATAACCGGAAGTGGTAAGAGGCTCTAAATATTTTAGAATAATTTATCCAAATTCCAGTGATAAGTAAGATTTATACACATTAGGCTTTGCAGATAATCAAGTAGAGAAACTAAGAAAATACTAAAGCAGTCCTCGATATTAACTTCTCAAAAATAGAACTAGAGAAGAAGAGATACAACATTAACATCTAAAGGACAACATAATGGTAATGAAGAACGTTAAATACAAATATCTTAGTTTTACAATAACGAAAAAAAAACGTGAAGAGAAGAAGAGGATAAGTGGAAAAGGTATAACGAGAGAAGGCAGTGAAAACTGTAATATCTTTAAATATATCCAAACTAATTTGAATTTGCGCTATTAAGTTACAGTTTGAATCAGTCCAATTCTATGGCAATTTTCCGGATCTGGGCGTACGTATTTATTGAAAAAATGATCAACAATATCCGATACGCCGATGACACGGTAATAACCGCTCACAATGGACAAGATCTACAAACTCTGCTGGATAGAATCGTGCAGGAAAGGTGTGGTATCAAAGTCAACGAAAAGTCTTGACTAGAACTAAAAAAAATGATAAAATTGACCATAAAAGTTTTTCTAAGAATGCGACAGTTCTTTGTAAATGATTTTAAACCAACATTAGATGCGATTCGGTATGGGGAAATGTTATTTATATAGGTCATGTACATATGTCATAGAAGCTTTGACATTGAAGGTCAGTACAATACGAAAACTGGAAAGCTTTTAGAAAGACTTGGATATCAAGATGGGCATGGATCGAGAATTGCTAGACATTGTGAAAAAAAAAAGAAAAATAACTTATCTTTTTGTAACTAATAATGGAAGGCAAGATTGAGGGCAGGCGAAGTCCTGGTAGAGGACAAATGGACGTGGCTACTTAGCACTGCTCGGAAACTGATCGCAACAATTATAACCAATAAAATTACAATCTAAATTGAATTATCGTACTAGAACTATCTGTTTTGATGGCAAAATAATCAAGTAAGAACGGAATTTTAACTATTTAATAATACTGATGTATAACTATCGACATACAGAACAAAAATTGTCGAACAGTCGGATACAATCTTAAATGCAATACTGACACAGGAAAGTACTATGAGAGAGACAACGTAATATAGATATTAACAAATTTGCAACATAAACCCCAATATATTAGACAAAAAAGGAGTGGTATAGAAGGGAAAAAATCAAAACGACAGAAGTATAGGCAGGCTAAGAAAAATACAGTGAAAACTTGGACAACTAATAAGAAGGCATCCGAAGATGTAACAGACGCAAGCCTATCAAGAAAGCAGAAAGAAGGAGTTCCAGTTTAAGTATGAGTATAGTTGTAATTTTTTTGTGTATATACGTTCTTAAAGTCGTCGGGCTAAATTTACTATGATAACATTATCAGAGGGAATGAAACATTGCTGTCCGGTTTTATAAGCCACTGCTCTGGAATTATTTATTCTTCGTCTGCAACTACGACAGGTATTATCAAATGTGATGGGTTACAATCAGTACCCAATGGTTAGCTAGCTTTTCAGTTTGAAAGAGTTATGATCATTGTCGTATTACTTTGATAATTTCTGTCCAAGTTGTAGACTAAAGTCAGAACTTAAACTTGGTTTTTGTGATGTATTTGTTTTATAAACTTTTTCCATATTGTTTCGTTTTCTTTTGGAATTATTCATTTTTATCTTTTGGATTGTTGTTAAGTTACTTATTAATTAATACTTAACAATTTCGTTAATAACCTGATTTAAAAGGCATATATTTGTGTTTTAGAAATCGACGGAGAATTTAAAGATAATCTCAAAATTTTAGTCCCGATGTTACTAGCGCCAGAAAATTTAGTACTTAAAAAAATTAATGGCGACAAAGTCAAAGTCAGAGATTTTGTTCAGTATTGTAAATCGTATATGCAAATCTATGAAGGCAATGAATTGCCGGAACCCAAATCTATGCTTGTGGTAAGTGATATTTTTTTAATAATACCTTATCTATAGTGTCTCGATCTAAATTTTATTGTAAGAGTAGAATATCATTACTGTGGCACTATTTTAATAGATATATAGTACCACCATTTATAACAAATCCTAAAAGAATATTTCTAAAACACTAGTATCAAAATAATGGTTTAAATATATGTAAAGTTCAGTTGTTTGATATCATCATACAGCCCTCTGCATCCAATTTTGGACATAGGCTCTCCTAAATTCTTCCAGTTGTGTCGGCCTAGAGCTTCTTGCAGCTGACAGTCTATTTGTTATTATTCTTGTGAATAACTTGCAGAGATGGTTTAATAGGCTTATGGGTCGGTAATTCTCGAGGTCTGTTGGATCTCCCTTTTTGTTTTGTGTAATAAAATGATAAGTGCACTGCGTTAACTTGTAGGTGTTTCACTTTGGTGCAGACATAAGTTGAACAATTTCTTTATTTTTTATAAAAGTCTGTCTCTTGCAGTCTTTACTTTTTCTTTAGCAATATTATCTTCTCCCGGTGCTTTATTTTCTTCATTTTCTTCAGCGCATTTCTTATTTCGTCTGTTGATATCAGGCATCAATTCCGATTCTTGGTCGACTAACCTTTTTCCTGAGTTTTCCAACTTTTCTGTTAGTTGCTCATCATGGTTTTATTGACTTCTGTATAATTCTGTATAGAAATCTTCTACTACCCTTAGTAATTCATCTCTGTTGGTAATGATATTTCCATCTTTATCCTTTAATTTCATTATTTCTTTTTTACCATTTTTCAATTTTCTTCTGAGAACTTTGAGACGCTTGTTATTTTCAATCGTTTGTTGGATTTGTTCACTTTTATGCTTTCGGTTGTCCACAACTACTCAAATACACATATCTCTTTCCCAAGGTCTATGTCTAACGACGCTTTCACCATTCTGTGGTCGCTACCTGTTGAAAACTGGTTTAGGACTGTAACTTTTTTAAAGGTCTGCCTCTTGTTAGTGATCATAGTTCGATCTCGTTCTTAGTTTTTCCATTCGGGCTCTGCAACGTCCATCTCCGATGCTCTTTTTTGTAGAAAAAGCTGTTCATCTGGAATAGATTTTTTTCTGCAGGAAACTAAGTAAAGTTTCTCTGCACTCGTTTTTATTTCCCAAACCATAATTTCCCAATGATGTTTCTGTCTCATTTGCCTTTGTTAATATGAACAAGTATATATGATAATAAAAGTAGCATGGAAGAAAAATTTATTTGAGCAGAAAGTCATAAAATATAAAGGAACTACTCTCCAAAACGGCCTCATCTCTAATTAATCAATTTATAATACAGCTATAAGTAAAAATCAGAAATGCTTCCAGACGATGAAGCAGACTTAAGTTAGTAATAAGCCATTTATCTAACACATAGATAACATAACATAATTATTCCTGTAATAGCCTTACGTTATTGATGTGGAGAGTCATAAATATAAAACGTCTATAATGCATATAAAAACTCTTTGAAAAGGGACGACAAAAAACCTGAAGCAGCGAAGCACTAGTGAGTTCTACTCAAATAGAAAGGACCCCGACACTTTGCTTTTGTAAAAGTAGTTTTAGTTAAATTGGCTGAAACTTTGCATCGAGGTAGCTTTGGTTATTCTGATCAAAAGTTCTGAGTGTCCCAAGACCCAAAAATCAATTTTTTTGAGGTACCTGTTATTCTGCATAAAAAATAATGACAGTTTGTGTCATTTAATGATGTCCATTTTTTTTAAAGAAAAATAAAGGTACGCCACTGAGATATTTCAAACTAAAAATTATTTATTAATAAAATAAAAGCAAATAGACTGGCAGGATGCCTTAATAGCGAAACAGACACATTAACATTGAGATGAAGTCAAGAATTTATAAAGCTGGTGTAAGATCAATAATGTCATATACCTCAGAAACAAGACCCGACACAGCCACAACACAAAGGCTACTGGAAACGGCAGAGATGAGAGTACTGAGAAGAATTACAGGAAATAGAGAGATCGAAAAAGTCAACGAGAGACGAGTTCAATTCAATGTTGAAAAACTATCATAATCAGGCCAATCATTCTACGGACTCATTCATGAGAAAAACATCTGCAAAATATTGGTTAGTTACTTTAGAATATTTAATGGTTGAATGCCTTTCAACGTGATAATATTATTCCTAAAACAAAATCCTTGAGTTTTTTTTCTCTTGCAAATCTGCATATGTACAATACTGCGACATCCTCTATCCACAACCCACATATCTGGATTTATTTTATGTTATCTTTCAAATACCGACATGATCAGTTAGATTTCTTTCACAGCCATTACCTTTAACGTTTTGTGTCAATATATTATGTACTGCACTCATGAAATACTGAAGACTGCCAGATTTCATTATTTGTGTGCATTCGAGTTTATACAGTTGCTATAAGTATTTTCTAATATCGAAAAAGGTAATTGCGATCGGGTATGTCATACTGAGTTGATACGGATAAATCTTCGATGCGCAAGCTGTACGCCTTAGTAAATAACAAATTTCACAATTTCGAATTTATGTGGTGATAAATAAATCAATCTCCATTTAACCGCCAGGCGGGCTGACGCACTCACTTCTTTATCAGTAATATATTGGGTTTAAGGATCGAATCCTGGTGGAGCCCCGAAAATTAAAAAAATTAACCTAGATTATAAAATACTTAATTGAATTGCAACTTAAATTAGAATACACCGGTATAACAACTCGATATTTGGATGAGCAATGCGGTCAGAGATGGGGAGTTACGTCTCGGTGTTACCCATTCCATTGATCCCTACCGGAAAGACTTGTTAACGCTAGAAAAAACTGAAGTAAATTAGTATTTAGCCGCTCTTTACCATGCGTTTAGTACTCAAAAATGAGTCACCACTACTCCTATTAAATTTCGAGTTTTAATATATCTAAAACACTGCAAATTTTTAATTACTTTCAGGCTACTGCCGAAGCGAACAATCTGGCAGCTGTTGCCGACGCAAAAGAGGCTTATGTCAATTTGATGGAAGAAGTTTGCGGAGGCACTAAACCCTACCTCAATACCGAATTAATCGAAAGTGAACATCGCAGAGTTAAAGAAAAAGCAATACATCAGTTCAATAGTAAAAAGAAAATGGGAGGTGACGAATTCAGTGCTGTGTATAAGATACAATTGGATAAGGTATACATTTAAGAAATAATACATTATTGTAATATTTATACTCTTATTAGGGATACTCTAATCTAATGTTATAATTAGGGACTGTGCATCATGAAAACCAATTATCTAGGGAGGAATTCACGCATATATATTATATATATATATATATATATATATATATATTGAAAGGAGTACGACCGTCTAAATTTAAATACACAATGTGAGTGAGATTAAAATCTCACTGTAAATGAGGATATCGGTCAAGGAGAAATAAAAAATGAAAAAACTATTTCAATCTTTTAATATAAAACGTTTCGTGCAGTATTTCTGCACTTCTTCAATTCTAGTGATTGTAAACTCATATATAGATGTCAAATGCATATGTTGAGATGTTACCAAAATGTCACAATATGTTAACAAGAACAGTATAATATAATAGATAGATTAGAAGTGTTGTATTATATTATACTGTTCTTGTTAACATATTGTGACATTTTGGTAACTTAATGTTTGTATAAAATAAAATTTTGAATGTATTTTTTACTGTAACTTATGTTATATTAATTTAATGTATTTTATAACATCTCAACATATGCATTTGACATTGTTTGATATCTATATATGACTTCATAATCATTAGAACTGAAGAAGAAATACTGCACGAAACGTTTTCTATTAAAAGATTGAAATAGTTTTTTCATTTTTTATTTCTTCTTGACCGATAGCCTTATTTACAGTGAGATTTTAATCTCACTCACATTGTAGATATATATATATATATATATATATATATATATATATATATATATATATATATATATATATATATATATACATATATATATATATATATATATATATATATATATATATATATATATATATACATTTATTTATTTATGTGGTAATTTGATTTTCAGGATATCGAAGACACATTTGTCCAATTCAAAGCTCACAATGAAAGTAAGAATATTTTTAAGTCTGCAAGAACTCCTGCCGTATTTTTTGCGTTGGCTGTGATGTTCTACATTGCGTCCGGAATATTTGGGTTTATTGGTATATATTCACTAGCAAATCTTTGTAATATGGGAATGGCAGTGGCTTTCTTAACATTAGGAACTTGGGCATATGTAAGGTAAGTCTATAGAAAATATTTAAAAATTGTTAAAAACATCTTTTTTTTCTTCTATTTTTCTTGTTTATAACTTTAAAACGATTCATTTAGGAGCAAAGTCGTTCGGAAGTAAAATAGCAGTAATTAAATTTTCTATAAGATACGACTGGTTAAAAATGATTTAAACATTGATAAAACATTTCGATTACTCATAAAAATATCTTTTTACAGGTATAGTGGTGAAATGCGAGAAATTGGTTCGTACATAGACGAAACAGCAAACTTTATTTGGGAAAATGTAAGTATTTTTATCAATTAATTCCTTAAGGTTGCGTTCATGTTACTAAAATTTATTTCGTTGTTTTATAACATAACTGACTTTTTCGGGGTTGCCATAATGTTTCCTTATTCAGAACTTACTAGTTTTTTAAATATATTTTTTTGTATAACACCAAGGGAAAGTACATATATTTAAACAGTTGATTATTACAAATCTCATAATTATGGATTACATTTAAAAATCATACAAAGGGTATTCCCGTTAATATAGGCAAAATGTCATCACTCCCAGAATTCAATATATTTTTTTAAATTTTGGGATTAAAAATTAGGGATTAGAGCAATTTTAGACCGCTAACTCTACCCCCTAAAACGTCAATTTTTTGTTCCCTTTTTTATTTTTAGGTGAGATTCAATCAATTTAAATTTTTTTAAAAAATCACACGCATACTTTAGGCTTTTATAAAACTTGTCCATTTTTATAAACTCGTAGGTTGAGTATATATAACCTAAAAATGGTTAAATTTTTTAAAAAAGCTTATCTTTTTTTTGGTATCTGCAGATCCAATTTTGTTTATTTTGTGTGTTTGTTCAAAAACTATATCTCTGATATTTTTTTCAGATTTTTCCTTATGGGAAAAAAATCCGAAAAACTTTTTTTAGATATTTTGCGGAGTTTTCTGCATTTTATAGACTTCAAAATCGATCAAATCAAGGGTTTTTATAGGTTATATATATTTTAAATTAAATGAGGCCTTTAGCATACTCCAAAGATTGGACGAAACCTCCCTCCCCCTAAAAAAACCGTTTTAAGGGTTTTGGAGGGGTTAACATTATTTTTTTACTTTTTATGTGGTTAAAAAATAAGACTCAGCTCAATTTTTCTATTTTTATAGACCCGTGAGTTGAGCATAACCATAACCTAAAAATGCATTTTTTGTTTTCGAAATTAACGTAAAACTTTTTTCGAAGTGCCTGCATGTTCATTTTTTTTTATTTGTGAATTTTCTTATGATGCACCATCTTCAAAAACAGTTTTTCGGACTTTTGACCAAATACACAAGATAAAAAAAAATGGATCTGCAACCAGCTCCAAGCCAAGTTATGTACACTAAATTTACGGATCTATAAAAATACGGAGTCTTATTTTTTAATCAAATAAAAAGTAAAAATATGAGAAAATTTATTCAGATTGTGTCGATGTCAAAAATATCGTATTTTGGGTGGTATAAACGTGTTTCACCCAATTTTTGAATACCTTAAAGGCCTCGTTTAATTTAGAATATATAACATAAAAAAAACTTGATTTGATAGATTTTTGATGTTTATAAAATGGAGAAAATCCTCCTAAGCCCCTACAAAATAGTTTTTCAGTTTGGCGCACCATTCGGAAAAATCTTTTAAGAAATCGTAGATATAGTTTTTGATCAAATACCCAAATTAAAAAAAATATTTTGGGTATTGGAAGGTGGATATGCGCCACCTCAAAAAAGAAGTAACAACCTTTTTATTCGAAAAAAAAAGCATTTTTAGGTTATGTACACTCAACCTAAGGGTCTATAAAAAATAGACAAGTTTTGTAAAAACCTCAATTATTTTAAATCTTTAAATTGATTATACCCAACCTAAAAAGATTAAAAACAAAAAATTGACGTTTTTGTGGTTAGATTGAGAGGGGTGGCGGGCTAAAATCTAAACCTGGAAAACAATCCCATTATAGAAGCAATCCTCGAATTAAAAGCATACAGTACTGAAGATAATACTGGAAAAATAAAGAAAAATCAAACCTTTCTCTAGTCATTTGCAACTTTGTATGAATATGAACTGGACCTACAACTTGAGTATATAGGAGTTCTCAATACCAAAAAGACATACTTTCAGTACACAAACATGCCAAAAATATTAGGAGAATTTCCAACTCATAAATTATTCACAGATGATTCAGTCTATACAACGAGCAAGGCAGGATTTGGAGTCTTTTCACCAGATAGCCCCTACACATTTTTTTCCAAACTACGCAACCATATCCAAATATGCACATCATACGTGATTGCTATCAATAATGCAGTCCAAGTAATACTGAAAAATATAGTTACCCATTGTATAATTTTCTGACTCCAAGAGTGCATTTCAAAAAATTACAAAACCTAATTTTTCAAAAAATAAAGGAACACACATCGTTCCTTATAAAAAGAGACATCATCGTGGCAAGGCACAACAACATTAGCATTAAATGTGTATGGAAGGATTCCAGGGCACTCTAGTATCATGAGAAATCCCAAAGCTGGTCAACTGGACATCTGCCTGAACATTCCATTGCGTATTTGTCTACGCTCCTCTCTATTTAACCAAGATATTTGGTCCAAATGGGGAGAAGAATGGTCAACAATATATAATGGCAATAAATCGTTCTATTTTAAAATTAATATTAAAATTTATCATACACTATGTTTTAACAATTTCTCCGCATCATATTCGACATCGGATACCAAGATCCGGCAGGGGAGGCAATTCTCAGTTAGACCGCGGGGCCTCCCAGGTCGCCAACATGTGAAAACCCCGCATCAGGCACAAAAATATAAACGAACTTCAGATAGGTACCTGGAATGTGAAGTCTGTAATTATATGAAGCAGGGAAAATCCACAATGTAATACATGAGATGAGGCGACTTAAAGTCAAATAGTCAATGGGACTAAGCGAGACCAGATGGCCTAGATCTGGCAAAATCGAAGTCGACGGTGCCAAAATATACTACTCAGGAAATGAAGATATTCACCACTATAATGGCGTCGCGGTAATGGTTGTTCGCAGTTTTGGCCAGGCTGTAACTTGTTTTGTTCCTATATCGGATAGAGTGTTAATGATCACAGCCCAAACAGCGCATAGAACTCTTAATATCATACAGGTGTACGCCCCCACTGCAGATAAAGATGAAAATGAAATAGAATAATTCTATAATGACATTAAAAAGGCACTAGACAGCACCAATAATAGAGATATAACAATAACAATGGGGGATTTTAATGCCAAATTATGAAAAGGTACCTAAATTCCAAGACATTATTGGTGAATTCGGGCTAGGAATAAGGAACGAAAGAGGGGAAAGACTGACGAAATTCTGCCAGGAGTTTGAAATGATAGTGACAAATAAACTCTTTCAGTTAACAAAGAAAAAATTATCAGAAACCAGATAGGTTATATCCTTATCAATAAGAGATACCGTAACTCCATTAAATCGGCAAAGACATATCCAGGAACAGATGTGTCATCAGACCACAATCCAGTAATCATAAAATTCGAAATCCACCTGAAGAAAATACGAAATCAACAAAAGACACAACAAATAAGCACGCTGCTAAAATACCCAAATATAAAAGGAGAACTAACGTTGAAAATTAACGAGGAGTTAAGCAAAACAATAATCAATGATAATGAAGATTCCAACGAAAAACGGGAAACATTTAAGAACACATTAATGATGCCAATTAAAGATACGCTGAGTAATTACAAAATCAATGAAGCTAAGACTCCATGGATGACAGATGAGATCCGGCAACTAATGGACAAAAGAAGATCATACAAAAACAAAAATGTAAACGAATACAAAGCCACACATAAGGAGATCAGAATAAAAATACGGGCAGCTAAAAAGAAGTGGTACAACGACAAATGTTTAGAGATAGAAGAACTCCGGAGAAATCATGATAGTTTTGAAATGCACAAAAAAATTAAAGAATTAGCAAGTATAAGACGGTTCAACAATAGTAACACCCTGGTTGATACAAATGGTAAAATAATATCTGATATCAAAGGCAAACTAAACAGATGGAGAGAATACGTCCAAGAATTGTTTGAGGACGACAGGACATAATGAACGATTGCGAGGAACATGATATAGTTCCAAATGTAACTAAGGATGAAATAATACATGCAATAAATCTGGCCAAATTTAAAAAAAAAACTGCGGGGCCTGACATAATTCCAACTGAAATAATTAAATTAATATCAGAAGATCAGATCAATGTATTAGTAGATTTATATAATACGGGTATTATTCCGCGAGATTGGCTCAAATCAACATATATTACATTACCAAAAAAACCTAATGCAAGGGAATGTAATGACCACCGTATAATTAATCTAATTAGTCACGCACTAAAAATATTCTTAAAAATTATCCATTTAAAAATTTTCAGAAAAGTGGAACAAGACGTCACTAAACCCAATTTGGATTTAGGAATGCCATGGGTACACGAGAGGCACTATTTGGATTTAACGTCCTAATGCAAAGATGTATGGATGTAAACTAACCACTCTATATTTGTTTTATTGATTACAATAAGGCGTTCGATAAGGTTCGACAAAACCGTCTTATACAGTTACTTAAAGATAAACACATAGACAAAAAAGACTTGAGAATAATAACTCTTTCGGATGAAGTAAAGATAAAAAGAGTCGTAAGGCAAGGTTGCATACCCTCCCCCTTATTGTCTTATTGTTCAATATATATATTCGGAAGAAATAATTAAAAAATCACTCGAAAATGTAACAATTGGAATAAAAGTCAACGGCAGACCCATCAACAATATAATATATGCCGACGATACTATACTAATTGCAGAGAATATACAAGATCTACAGACACTTTTAGATAATGTAGTAAATGCTAGTGAGGAAAGCGGACTAACGCTTAATGCTAATGAAACAAAATTTATGACAAATTCCAACACAACAATAAGATATTTTAAACATAAGGGGGTTCCAATAGAAAAACTAAAAAAATACAGATATCTTGGTACAATTATTAATGAAAATAACGAATATACAGAAGAAATAAAAATGAGAATTGGACAAGCTAGAGCAACATTGAATAAGATGAGAAAAGTATTATGCAGTAGAGATCTTAGTTTACAACTCTAAATAAGAATATTACGTTCATATGTGTTTTCGGTGCTGCTGTATGGGGTGGAGGCCTATACCTTAAAGAAAGAGGTGAGCGATCGACTTGAAGCATTCGA